ACAAACAAGAAATTATCGTGGAAATGATACTTTTCAACTAAATTAAAACGCCAGTAGGTGCCAGTAGTGAGCGTTTAATGAGTGATTCATTGAGTCGTTCATTCAAACGATTCGTTCAAACGGCAGATTCATCAGATGTTTATGCATGGGCTAATGAAACTTTGACTCAACCAATTCGTTCAAAACACGGAATCAATCAGCAATGAATGTACTTACTAAAATGTAAGTGACCTAATATTATTGTATTTGCTTATTGAACTGTTTATAGAACTATTAAACAGTCGTAATGGTGAAAACGTTGTGTGATGTTGCCTAACTAACTGTATTTTAAATATAAAAACTTTCCATTTTGAATTTTTACCTCAGGATGCGGAGTTTCTTAGTGTTGCGCATTTTGATTTCTCCTGGAGAGGCTGCGTGAGCCTCGCCTCAGCAGCGCAACCTCATACCGTCAATAGATGCATTATATACAGTAGCTACTGTATATCCACTATTCACCACTTACTCTAAATGTAATAAAATCAGAATAATATTGCGTTTTGGTGTTTACATAGTTATTTTTGTTTACTGATGTTTTAATCATGTTACTTGTCTAGCGTTAATGAGTTAATGTCAAGCCCTGGAGTCTATGTGCCGGGGCTCAGCCCCAGACGGCCCGGCCCAATTTAAACCCTGGTCTTATGTAGCATGATTCTACACTGTGCATGAATGGTCACTGTGACGAGTGGGGGCGGGGCCAAGAGCCGTGGGAATGGAGCGAGGCCGGTGGAGTGATTGCTAATGAGCGACACCTGCACCCACTCACCGGTCTCGAGTCTCACGGAGGAGCTCCGGAAGGATAAAAGGGAGGAGTGACGACCGTGTTGGATGAGAGAGGCCCAGGCCTGGATTTTATTTTGTGTTTTGGTTTTGTTTGTGCGCGACAGTCGTCCGCAAGGGGCTGTCGCGCTGTTTTGAGTTTATTTTATTATTAAAGTTTGTTTAAATGTCATCGCGGTGCTGAGGAGATCGGGCAGCAGGAACAAGCGGAGACCACCGGTGGCTGCCCGAGGCGGTGGTGCTGGAACAATGGAAGACGAGATGGGACGGAGAGCACGCTGCTGCGCTCCTGGGTCGAGGAGGGGTGGCTACCGTCTGTGAGGGAGCGGAGGAGTCTGCCCGTTCGCCAGGAGGCCGGAGCTTGCTGCCATCCACCATGATTGGGGAGGAGCAGGGAACGGTGGACTCGCTGCCGCCTGCCCTTAATAGGAGGAGCCATCGCCGGCCGCCAGGAGGCGGAGGAGCATTGGGCCATCCACCAACGATGTCCAGTACCATCGCATGGCACCGCGAGTGAGAGCCTCTCAGCCGGTTGAGGACCAAGTGGCAGTGTGTCGGGGAATCGGACCCAGAATTTTTTTTTTTTTTTTTTCCTCTCTTCCCTCTATCGTCTGTCTCTCCTCATTCTTCCATCTCCTTTTCTCTCGCCGGCCTGCGAGGGGCGATGGGGGTATGTGACGAGTGGGGGCGGACCGAGAGCCGTGGGAACGGAGTGAGGCCGGTTGAGTGATTGCTAATGAGCGACACCTGCACCCACTCACTGGTCTCGAGTCTCACGGAGGAGCTCCTGAAGGATAAAAGGGAGGAGTGACGACCGTGTTGGATGAGAGAAGACCAGGCCTGGATTTTATTTTGTGTTTTGGTTTTGTTTGTGCGCGATAGTCATCCGCGAGGGGCTGTCGCGCTGTTTTGAGTTTATTTTATTATTAAAGTTTGTTTAAATGTTCACCGGTTCCCGCCTCCTTCTTCACAGCCTACAAACGTTGTTACAGTCACATAAAACGCGCTTTCGGTCTTGAAGTATGAACGGACATCTGCATATGATTGAAACTCTACACAGCTTCCGCGCTACTCTCCATTGGAAATGAATGACTTTCGGTCTGTCATTTGTCGGAGATAGTGGAAAGCCGGCTTGAAATGCAGTGGAAACGCCAGTAAGACGAGGATCGTTTTCATTTTAAAACAAAGACGCACCAGTGTAAATGTAGCCTTACAGCTACGGGGGCTGGGACGCATTCACACTAAATCCTCACATGTGAGCCACATCTTTGAGTGTCACAGTCGCGGACCGACTGTGCAGACCTATCGGTGTATTAGACTATAGTAAGATACCACGAGCAAACTGCTCCGTACGTTTTCGCATCGCTCTCGCGGATGTCAAACACTGATCGATCTGCGCCTCACTGACGTTGATGAGATTAACCCCTTAGGTATCGAAATTTGGTACCGAACGACGAGACGTTTTTCGATACTTGATAGTATCAAGGCAATTCGTTCGGTGCCTAAAAAGTATCGAATTCGATACCCAGCCCTACTCAGCAGTGCCACAAACTGATCACCTCCATGCCACGCCGAATTGAGGCAGTAATTAAAGCAAAAGGAGCCCCTACCAAGTATTGAGTACACGTACAGTAAATGAACATACTTTCCAGAAGGCCAACAATTCACTAAAAATGTTTTTTTATTGGTCTTATGAAGTATTCTAATTTGTTGAGAATTGGTGGGTTTTTGTTAAATGTGAGCCAAAATCATCACAATTAAAAGAACCAAAGACTTAAACTACTTCAGTCTGTGTGCATTGAATTTATTTAATACACACGAGTTTCACAATTTGAGTTGAATTACTGAAATAAATGAACTTTTCCACGACATTCTAATTTATTGAGATGCACCTGTTCTTTACTTAAACATTTTTGATAATATAATAAATAATACTACAAACACTACGTTTTAAAAATGTTTTATTGCATATGTTTTTGTGGTGGGGCCAGTGAAAATGTTGGCAGAAAAAAGAATAAAATAAAATAAAAAATCCTTACTGTTGAGGAACACAAACCTACAAAAAGAAACGCTGCTAAAACTAGGTCAATCCCAAAAATAAAAATATGAAATTTCTAATATGAGCCAAAAAGAAAGTTCAAAAATGTGTTGGTGAGAATGAGTATCTGTATTGAGCAGATGATGATCAGCCTATACTCAGACACAAGACAATCTTCCCCTTGTTTAGATGTTTCCAGTTACATCATACCAAGGAAAGTCCAGTCCTACATTTTACGGAAATGTTTGTAAAACCCACAAAACCAGCAGCCAAACATTCTTACTTTTCTTGTCGTCTCCTGAGGCGACTTCAGCAAGGTATCTGTAGTAGTCGCCCTTCATCTTCAGGTAGAAGACTTTGCTCTCAGGATTTGTGGAATTCTGGATTAAATATTTGTTCAGCAGCTCCTGTAGAAGAAGAGTAAACGAAAGAAATTAAATGGAGGAAAAGCTTGAAGTCCACATTTAGACACTTTCTTCATGTCATTTCTTTAGGCCCCAAGAAACATGCAAACCACCAGGTGAATGATCTTAAATACAGGCTAAATATCAGCTCATCCTCCTGTTAGTGCCATTCCCATGCAGACTCGAAGCAGTTTCAAGGGATTTCCCTCCTTCGTTTTAGTCCAGGATTAAGCTTAATCACCGTCTCAGAGACCTGAAGATCAATCTTTCTGCATCCGTCTACCCATCTAACAGTAATCTGTTTCAGGGAAAGCAACAGCTTTAAGGCACGGGTAAATACCAGATTAACCACCACACCAAGGATGAGACAGATTACCACAGAAAGGCCAACACAACATCATGAGGTATGACCCACTCCTTACCACGCTATGGTAAGATCAGGTCAAAAAATGCACCATCAAGAGCTTAATATTTCTCTCCATCCTCCTACACATCACAGTGTTCTGCTTCTGTGCTTCGCAAACACTATTACAACAGAAATCATAAGGAAACAGGAAACATGCTGAACTGGTAGAAGGTTTGCTCAAATCTAGGATAGTCCAACATTTCATTGCTCACTCAGTGATTAACAGGATAGTTCACCCAAAAATTAAAATTGAGTCAACAATCACTCACCCTGAATGACTGACTTTATTCTGTGGAACATTCTGTTTTTGGCCTTACAATGAAAGCCAATTGACTTCCATTGTACAGTATTTCAAAACAACTCCTTTTGTGATGAGTAAATGACAGAATCTCCCTTTATGAAAGGCCTGTAAATAATGTTTTGTCTTGAGGAGTACAGACTGCACCCAGAAGCTTCAAAACAGACAAAACCAAAAGTGTTAGAAACATTCTCTGACATGAGGGCCTGTTTCTTCTTGCTTGCCTGAGTAGAAAGGCCTGTCAGAGCATTTTTTTTTTTCATTCTTCACACTTGTTAGGGATTCTCAGCACAGAGATGCCAGTCACTGATGACCAATCCAGAGAAACAAGGTCAGTGCTATCCCAGCTTCCCATTTCTGACCTAAAAATGTAGAAGCTTCTGAGAAGACTAAAAGCAGATGTACATAAAACAGTACAAAACTGAGCATTAACAATCTTTGTATTAGGCTTCATTTATCTGGATGCACTTATATTACCTTCTCATATCAGTTTCCACAAAATATTGAGCAGCACAACTGCGATTTGCAATAGTTATAAGAAATGTTTCTTGAGGGTCAAATCAGCATATTAGAATGACTTCTGAAGGATCATGTGACACTGAAGACTAATAATGGCTGCTAAAAATTCAGCTTTGCATCACAGGAATAAATTACATTTGAAAATATATTAAAATAGAAAACCTATTTTAAATTTTAATCTTTCACAATATTAGTGTTTAACTGTATTTTTGAGGCTTGTTGAGCATAAGAGACTTCAAAACAAAACAAAATCTCATAGACCCCTAACTTATAGTAAACAAGTAACGTATAGTAAGGATTGTCAACTAGTCTTCCATCAGTTTAAGCTTTAATATTTTTAGTGTTGGTGCTATAAATGGGATGAATTTATAGAAATCACATCTCAGTGAGGGTTTAGTGTGCAAACAGTAATTTCTGTACATTCTGGAAGCAAAATGCCTATCTGAGAAGTTACATTTCTAAGTTCACGCCAGCTACAGTGAAAGTGGTGGATTTGTAACAAAAGAACCACATTCAACAATACATTTCAAGATAATTATGGTCAGACTCCAGATATTTTTAGTTGTTGATCATGAACACATACAGGTGAATGTCTTTATACATTCCCCTGATGTTCAACAAATATAAATCAATGGCAAATGCAGGAAACACTTGTCACTTGTTCAGTGAGCGTAGTCCTCCCTACTGAGAGTATGAGAGCTGGCAGCATGTGGCAGGCTGTCTGGACAGGTGGGGGTGTGGAACAACCTTGATCCCAGAGCAGATTCAACAGTGAGATGAGTCACAGACACACCCTCAGTCATCACAGACGAGCTGGGAAATCAAGCTGGAGTTCTCGCTAAAGCTGTGCACAGAAACCGGCCATGACTCACTGCACAAACACAGTTCACCGCTTACATGGGTTTAGACCAGACTACAGCAAAACCACTGATAACAACCCCACTGATTTACCAGAAAGACAGTGGCTGATTGTGAATCTTTTGTATTTCCACAGGAAGCACTTTCTGGAAGACCAGGTAGAAACCGATAAAACCAATAAATATTTTCATGTGATGGCAGATAATCAATAAATGGCCGAAGTTCGCATGAAACGGAAATTCACCCATCTATTTTCTAAATATTGTGAACAATTGATCCATCTACTTTAGGGCTTTTTTTTATAAGAATTTTGATAATTGTTAATCACAATGTCACAATTCAGTCTTCTGTCGCTACTTCAGTTACAGCACGACTTTAATATTCTACACTATTTTGTCTAATTAAATTCAAATGAAACACTAAAATCAATTGTTTTAAATGCTACATGTGGATTTGGGCATCACAGCATTATGTACATTAAGAAAAATGGATTATAATTTTGAGATTTACTAAAGTTTACATTTAAATTAATAGTAGTAGTTTAAAGATTAAAAAACACTAAAAACACTGTTAGATGTGTAAAAAATAGAAGAAATATCCAATTAACAACCCTCTACATTGCAAGTAAATCACTCGCATATGCGACTAAATCTTCACTCTGGGCGACTAAATGATGTCTAATATTAGCCAATGGCTAATAAATTCTCAGATTTTACTCTGAATTGACGCGCGACATGTAAACAATATTCTTTGTTGTATTTTCCTGTCAAAATAACAGCGTTCCTTTGGAATTCTTTAGCTTTTTAGAACTGCCACTTTCTCCAGTAGTGGGCGGAACTAATGCGCAAACAGCAATATCATTGGCTGGCGCTCACCTATTGTCATCCCTGTTTTGATTTCAGCAAATCAGTTCGAGCGAACGCACACAACCTGATTAATATTCATTAATCCAGCAGCTCATTAATCCTTAGTGCGTTTTATAGTGTTCTTATTAGTATAATTCATATCATTATCTTATCAGTATTTTTGTTAGTTTTTTCCCAATTTTTTACAGAAACACTGAATGACCAAAAAAGCACCACCACCAGTCCTACGTTCAATTAAAATGACTTTTAAATTTCAAGTTTAAATTCTAATTACTAAAGTTCTATCATTAAATAATACTTGATTATCATATTATAATGCTCGACTGACTGATGTTAAGAGTGTACTTTCATATATTTAAAAAAACTCATTTAAAAAAAAAAGAAAAACTGTGTCATTTTAGAAATATTTATTATGTATATATAATAGCCAATGGCGATTCAATTGCCAAGGTGTCTGTAGAGGGTTGAATTAATATCCAATACTGATAATTATTATCCAATACTAATTTAAAAAAAAAAGTATATATTTAATAATTATCAACTTTATCTATAACTCATATGATGTCACTAAATTGTAGGCCTATTATGTACATAGGTGGCTTACATAGTACTGGCATCTAACATTAAAAAAAAAAAAATAATACATATTGGGAGACCACTACATGAGACATTAGTGAATAATACAATACTGTTGTACAATACTATATTTAGCAATTGTCTATACAAAACACTCACACATAAAACACGGTCTAATGGTAATGAATTATGGTCTTCTCTATGAATAGACCACAATAACAGCCTCATGCTACAATTTCAGCTCTTTCTGTGAGAAAATAAACCACAGCTTCCATTTTTGGAACAAACCTCCTTCAGGCAACATTAAACATTGCTTCTTTTATTTAAAAAAACAAAGTGTCAGAGTGGATAAAGCTAAATTATTCCACCAGTAGCACAAGCACTGAGAATGAGGAACTACATAGCTCACTATTACCCAGCAGACATTCGAAAAGCGTTATAGAACTGCACCTGAATGCACCTTTACAACACACCCACTGCTGAACTTTGAACATCTCATCATGTCAGGGCCATGATTTGATTATATAAACAAACACTTCCTTCTGTGGGAAGGGTCTAAAAGGAAACACTTCTCTTTATACATAATACCAATTTGATCAAGGTAGGTTTGCTATACAAAAAGTTATTAAATACAAACTGCACAGCTTCTAATTGGACTCATCATCACTACATATTCTAGATATAAAAACAATGAGCCCTTGTACAAGACTTGGCATGCTCCCCTTAATATAAACACCGTCGTCTCCGGCGAGAGACAAAACTGGGCTGCTGCTCCATCAGGAAAGAGGACATATTCTCTACCATGTCACACATGTAGTGAACACATACTCATATGATACATACATATGAATAAGGTCAAATCACAGCAGTGCATATATTTAAAACAACACTCTTGCTTGTGATTAATTCAGCAAAGACCAGATTCAAAATTGCGCATTAAAAAAATAGTCACTGAACGAATCAGCGAACGAATCTTTTTGGTGAATGATTCAAAAGATTCGAATCACTGAAATGACTCAAAATCCATACCAGCGTTAGAGAAGCCCTTCTGTGTGAATCTTACACTTTCATTCGCTACTCACGGACTAAAATTCGTCTTAGAACCTAGTGAGTTACCTACCAAAACAGCATTTTGGGGCGCGTTCCGTCAGATGTTGTCTAGGTAGGCAACACGGAGACACAGATAAAAAAAAAAAACTTCATATTAATGTTTTGTCTGTTACCATATCATGGATTTACATACTGTTCAAAGGTTTGGGGTCAGTAAGATTTTGTCTCTTATGCCCACTTGATCAAAAATACAGTAAACACAGTAAAATTGTGAAATATTATTACAATTTAATATATTTTAATATAATTTATTCCTGTGATGACAAAGCTAAGTTTTGCATTTCCCCAAGTTTTTGATTGACAGTAAATAATACACTTTTAAAATTTGTAGAAACAAAGAAATATTAATAGCCTAAATAAAATACAGCAGAGAAAAAAGTATTAGCCT